TCCCTCCAACTAGCAAAGAGAACCGCAAAGATAATTGAGGAGGCCGATGCCATGGCACCGAAAAACGAGCGGGGATGCTGAGATAGACGACACATTGGCATCTTCTGGTTACCACCCGGTTACCTTGTAGCTGACCTCTTGGCTTCCACCACACCGCACCTTACCGAGCTAGCAACCACATGGTTACCAGGTCCACGACATCCAAAAGCAATGTATGTACAGCTCGGTTAGCCTCGTGAGTCTGGAGTTTGAGACGAGCATCTTGTGTTTACACCAGGTTACGTGATTACTACGTGTTTACCAGCTTGCCACCACACAGCACACCAAAGACCCATAACCAACATACAGCTCCGTCAGCCTCTTGACTTAAGAGATAGAGCTTGGCAGGATCGAGCGGAGCAAGTTGAATTCGAGATTGCTGTTGCAACAGGAGCAAGCATGGTTTGGGAGGGTGAAGAGGGATCGTGAGGTTGTGGGAGGGCGTAAAATCTGAAGGCCGTGAATACAATGTCGACCGGTTATCCAGATAATTAATGTTCTTGTTTGTGTTATCACTCTAAACCCAACACATTGCCTTATCTCCATGCCCATCTCTGAATGTGATAGCGACGAGAAAGAGTTCTTCACACTAAACCACTGCGAAGAATGACTAGGTACGCACTGGTGCTCACACTAGTTTGCAATTGAGATGGTAATTTACATGGGAGCATTTAGTGCGTACCCAAACCAACCAGTTACAGTACGAGACTTCTAAAACACACGTGACTCTGATACGGCCAAGGTGAGCTGGCAGGTTGAGATGTGACAGACACCCATGATACAGTCACATGTGATACAGTCACGTACGCAACAGTCATGTGCGAACACACGTTTGGTTGAGCTGTGGCCTGGCGTTACTATAGGTCGATCCAAAAGTGACAACAGTCGACTCATAAGTCACAACAGTCGACTCAAAAGTCACAACAGTCGACTCAAAAGTCACAACAGTCGACTCAAAAGTCACAACAGTCGACTCAAAAGTCACAACAGTCGACTCAAAAGTCACAACAGTCGACTCAAAAGTCACAACAGTCGACTCAAAAGTCACAAGAGTCGACTCAAAAGTCACAACAGTCGACTCAAAAGTCACGGTCAGATTTGGAACATCTCAAATCAAAACAGGGTGTACATTCATCTGGCTGAGCCGCGGTCGCTGTTAGGAGGGGGACAGAGAGCGGCAGGGGGGTGATGTGGAAGAGGGGAGTGGATAGCAGGTTTCCGACATCATAAACTGCGGGCGTGGGGAGAGAGAGGGGCGAGGGGCAAGAAGGGAGTGTAGCGTTTCGTTCTTTGGTCGCCTCAAAGGTAAGGCGGTTCAGGAGTACAGAAAGGCTGAGACCTTGTTGCGAGATAGATCACTGCGGGCTTGAGGAGAGAGAGAGGAGAGGGGGGAATAGGGGAGGGAGAAAGGGCGAGTGACGATTTTTCTGGCGTCCAAAAAGGTTTTTTGAGGCGGGAGAGGGAGAAGGAGATCTGGTGGCGAGAAATAGCGCTGCGGGAGTGGGGAGAGAGATAGAGAGAAGATGGGCTAAGGGCGGGGCATTGAGAGGGAGATGGACAAACGGTGGGGTGGGGAGAGGGAGATGGGCAGAAGGTGGGGTGGGGAGAGGTATATGGGCAGAAGGTGGGGTGGGAATTGGTGGATGGGCAAAGGGGGGGGGGGGGGGGGGGGAAGAAGGAGATGGCCTCACGGTCGGGTGGGGAGAGGTATATGGGCAGAGGGTGGGGTGGGGAGTGGTGGATGGGGAAAGGGTGGGGTGGGGAGAGGGAGTTGGGCAAACGGTGGGGTGGGGAGAGGGAGATGGGCTAAGGGTAAGGGGGGGAAGAAGGAGATGGGCTCACGGTGGGGTGGGGAGAGGTATATGGGCAGAAGGTGGGGTGGGGAGTGGTGGATGGGCAAAGCGTGGGGTGGGGAGAGGGAGTTGGGCAAACGGTGGGGTGGGGAGAGGGAGATGGGCAAAGGGTGGGGGGGGGGAGAAGGAGATGGGCTCACGGTGAGGTGGGGAGAGGTATATGGCAAGAAGGTGGGGTGGGGAGATGTATATGGGCAGAGGGTGGGGTGGGGTGTGGTGGATGGGCAAAGGGTGGGGTGAGGAGAGGGAGACTCGCAAACGGTGGGGTTGGGGAGAAGCAGATGGGCTCACACCTGGTCGCAGTTGGGATATGTTCAAGACTACACTGCTTGCCGATCAAGTGGACCATATGGTGGAAGCGGAGCGGTTGGATATCATCAGCGGCCTCAAATGCGAGATATTGTACTAGGTTGCCAAAACCGCCCGACTACACTCAACGAAGTTGTCCGATTGGTCGAGAGCACAGACTCGCTGTTGTAAAGGGTGAGATCAAGTTCTCGGGCGGGAAACCGTTTTCGTGGACGGACCCAACGGGCCACGATTAACGGAGTCCATGCGCCAGATCGCCCTTTTACAAGGTTGTGTTTTAAGTGCGGAAAGCCGGGTCACATGTATAAAGACAGCCCTAACAAGACGCAGGGAAAGAGGAGCGACGTAAAAGAGCAGGGAAACAGGAAGAGTCAGTAACAGACGGGCCCCTTATTGACTGTGCTCTGTTGCCCGAACCCCACCATCCTCACCGAGTAGTGGTTCCTGTTCATGCAACCGATCGCACTCGAATGAATACGGGAATAATTATGTGGATCACCCTGTGCTTGTTGTTGGCACGGTTGTTAAGAACAATAAAATATCCGTCGACGGCGGGGCTAGCCATAGCCTCTTCAACCTGGCGACAGCAAAAAAAAATGACATGTGTCTACCAGAAATTGACGCTCGCCTCATGGACGGGACGCGTGTGGCGATTTTGGAGGAAACACAAACAGTGCAGATTGAGTGAGGCGAAAATTTCGGCTTCAGCATAAAGTCTCTCGCGACGACGTTGGATGGCCGACACGTGCTCATGGGACGCGATTAGTTGCGTCCCAGCTCGATAATTGACTAGACGACGGGCTCGTGCAGCATCAGCAAGCACGAGGGGCTAATTACTCTGCCCGCGTGAACTTTGGACCCCATTGAATCCACATGTGTCAAGGCGATTTGCATCACACGGCATTTCAACAGGGGTGCGCAGCTGTACGCCGTTCACCTATGCGAGTTGGCAGCCAATACAGACAGAAACGACATTAACAAGTTGTGTGCTACTGTACCAGCTGATCTGGCGCAGCTGATTCGGCAAAACTCTTGCTATAATGGCTGGCGTGTGCACGATGCGTTCGACGTCAGCCTTCTGGAGCCCTTTGTTGCTGCCACGACGGACATTGCCTGCTAAAACGCTGCTCTATCAGCACGACCTAAACCTGAACCAACGCTTGACCCCTCAAAGATTTTGGGGCATCTCGTACGACTTGACGCAACAGGGCGCCACGTGGATCTTCTATACCAGCGACCAAATATGAAATTTTTGAAATACAATTTCCAAATTTTAAAGATTATGACAAGACTTGTAAAGGATTATGCAGTAAGGAGTCATCTGCTCCTTATCTCGTGGCAGGTTCACAGACCTGCCACCTAGTCGAAAACAATTCTAGATCTGAATCTAGAACAGCACACTCTACTAAGTTTGTGGTTAGTATTCTAGATCTGAATCTAGAACAGCACAATCTAGAGTGTGCTGTTCTAGATTCAGATCTAGAATTGTTTTCGACTAGGTGACGACTGCTCTGCAGACTCCTTGGAGAGTCTTGTCTTAATTGACCGCACCAGCGAGGACAACATTTGGGTGTCATCCGCCTCGCTTGACACACCTTCACCCTTACGCGATTACCTTGCCCGCAGGAGTGTCACGGATGTTGACCAACTTTCTTAGAGGAAGAGGGGGGGAAGAGGGGGGAGGGGCGGGGAGCAGGCCCTCAGATTCGTTTTTGGGCTGTCTGATTCGTCAGACTTAGTACACATTTTTTGTCTGATCAATCAGACTTGGTAAAAAAAAAAAAAAAAAAACTGGAAATTTCAGAGTTCAATCGTATACCGTAAAAGTCTGATAAAGAAAGTTCACATTAGTAATGAAGCTGATTGATCAGCCTAAAACAGGGAGATAACATCGCCGCAGCGCTGCTGTCACTATTTCAGCGTGACTGACACGAAAAATTTGTACTTCCATCGCTAATCGCGGTTGTCAGGTCAGAGTAGGTACGTGCTAAAACGCTCCTGGGATCAGAGTACACTCCCGAAAAACACTGAAATTTCTGAGTTAGCCTTAAGAAAAATCTGAAACTTTCAGAGTTGAGGTCCTAAACATTCTGGAAATTTCAGAATACACTGAATCAAAAAAATATGAAATATCAGAGTTTTTCATGCAGATCAGAGAAATTTCTCTGACTTGTAGGGGCCTGGCGGGGGAAGGGGAGGGGGGGGGGTGTAGTGCAACCCTTTTTCGCGTACAACCCCCAATTTTCGGAAGTGTACGTTCGGTCACTTGTTGCCGAAACAACCTCGCGTTGTGTTTGGTTTCCCTTTGCCCAACCTGCACCCATCCTCGCGTTCCCAAGGCTCCCGCCTAGCTAGGTTGACCCGCTATATAATCGCGTGCCTTTCATTGTATCGTCAATTCATAGTGTCACAGCTTCGTTATTCGTTTTCCACAAAACTCTGTTTCACAACTCATAACAGTCGCGATACTGAGTCTGCATACAATGTGATATGCCCCCTACCGTATAATGATGGCTGGTACTTTTCACTGAAGTTAGGCCTGTAAATCCAAACTTCCAGTCATTTCTGCTCGTTCCCCTGCCACGTTCCACAAAGCCCCCTATTTTGCTCCCGTAGCTTTTTTAAACATCAGCCCTTCCAGCCACACCATGCGCAGATTTGCACGACCATAATATACCGTCAGTTCCATTCAGCAGACTTCAGCTCTGTTTTGGAAACAAGTAAGGCGAGTCATTCGACCCATGATAACACTGGCACCAGTGCTACCAGCAGTCAGCGGCACACAGCCACGGTCGCCCTTCAAGAGGAGGAATCGCCCTCCGAAAAAACAAACCCAATCTCCAGGAGCCTGCAGATTCGCTGCAATGCCTTCTTCCCCTTGAACGGCTGCTGTGCCATGGCCTTCTGGGCCTTCACCCACTGGCTCAGCCGCGCCAAGTCCTGCGCTCGCCTCAGCCTCCCTCCTCCCTGCTGCTGCCCACCACTGCTGCCTCCACCACTGCTGCTAACGCCACCGCCACTGATACCACCACCACCAGCAGCAGCAGCAGCAGCTCCTCCTGCTGCCCCCCCCCCTCCTCCCCCTCCCCCTGCCCCTGCTCCAGCACTGGCACCATCACCACCAGCAGCAGCAGCAGAAGCGGAAGCGGCGGTGGGAGGCGGGGCAGTGTTGGCGTGTGCGTGTGGCGCGTTGGAGACGTTGAGGTGGCCGTAGTCGCGCTTGAAGTCCACGAGAGCCGCAAAGTTCTCCTCCCACCGCGCATCCTCCAGATTGATGGTCACGTTCAGCTGCTGCAGCTCCTCCTGTCATCGCCGTAGGGAGAGAAAAGGGGGGGGGTTAAGGGGTGTGGGGGCGGTGAAGGGGGAGAGAGGGGTTGGGGGGTTGGAGAGGAGAATAGGATGAGTAAGTGGAGGAGAAGGTGAGATGGAGGAGGAGATGGAGGGGAGAGTGAAGGGGGAGGGGAAGGAGAGGAAAGGAGGGAATAGCACAGAGTAGGGGATGTAAGGGCGAGGAGAGTTGGACTGGAGGATGAAAAGAGGAACACCCACCCACCCACCCACCCACCCACCCACCCACCCACCCACCCACGCACGCACCCACCCACCCACCCACCCACCCACCCACGCACGCACCCACCCACCCACCCACCCACCCACCCACCCACCCACCCACCCACCCACCCACCCACCCACCCACCCACCCACCCACCCACCCACCCACCCACCCACCCACCCACCCACCCACCCACCCACCCACCCACCCACCCGGCCACCCGGCCACGCACCCGCTGCACGGGTGAGAGTCGGTTGCGGCGCAGCAGCATGCGCTGCTTCTGCAGCCACACGCCCAGGGGGCTCCTGGGGGCCACGTGGCAGTGGCCGTGGTGCGCCCTGAACGCCCTCAGCTCCCCCATGCGCTCCTTCCACTCGCCCATCTCCGCCCCCTGCTGCTGCTTCTGCGAGAATCGATCGGATTGCGGGGTGAAAGGTGGGGGAAAGGGTGGTAAGTTAGAGGACGGCAATCCAAGCAGCAAGGAACAGAACCAGCGACGGAAGCAAGAAAGGAAGAGATTAATAACAAATGACAAAAAGAGTCTCTTGATAATTGGTTTGATCAAACGAATCTCAAAAGAACATTACCATAGCGAGGGAAGGTTCACAGAGTGACACCGGACCTACAGTTTGAGCTCTGATACCATCTTAGAGATTGACTCGTATGATACATCTCAGATCAAAGTTCGTATAGCGAGAGAGGGTTGAGAGAGTGACATGGGACCTGACCTGTAATTTGAGCTCCGATATCATCTTGAGCCTCCTCTCTAAGTCCCTCTTGGGTAGCTCCTGCACAATGAAGTGGGACGTGGGGAGGAGAAGACGTGGGGAGGAGGGGATGTTAGGAGATGTGGGGAGGAGAAAAGAGAAAAGGAGGAAAGTGGGGGGTGTGGCACTTGCACCTGTTGCACAATACGTGGTAGAGAGAGAGAAGGAGAGGAGGAGCAGAGAGGAGAGGAGGAGCGGAGAGGAGAGGAGGAGAAGAGGAGGAAATTGCAGACATGCACCCACACACGCGCACGCACACACCCACGCACGTGCACAAACGCATAAGCATGCACAGAAATGCGCACGCACCTGTGGCACCGTGCAGTGTGCACGCACCTGTGGCACCATGCAGTCACATGTGCACGCACCTGTGGCACCATGCAGTCACATGCGCTCGCACCTGTGGCACCATGCAGTCACATGCGCTCGCACCTGTGGCACCATGCAGTCACATGCGCTCGCACCTGTGGCACCATGCAGACACATGCGCACGCACCTGTGGCACCATGCAGACACATGCGCACGCACCTGTCGCACCATGCAGACACATGCGCACGCACCTGTCGCACCATGCAGACACATGCGCACGCACCTGTGGCACCATGCAGACACATGCGCACGCACCTGTGGCACCATGCAGACACATGCGCACGCACCTGTGGCACCATGCAGTCACATGCGCACGCACCTGTGGCACCATACAGTCACATGCGCACGCACCTGTGGCACCATGCAGTCACATGCGCACGCACCTGTGGCACCATGCAGTCACATGCGCACGCACCTGTGGCACCATGCAGTCACATGCGCACGCACCTGTGGCACCATGCAGTCACATGCGCACGCACCTGTGGCACCATACAGTCTGCATGATGCGGGTCGAAGGTGAGCGCACAGGAGCACTCAAACTTGTCCTCCACCTCAAACCCACTCGGCACCCTGCCATGCTCGCGATAGTGGGCGGTGGTGGGTGGTAATGGGTGGTGATGGGTGGTAACGGGTGGTGATGGGTGGTGATGGGTGGTGGTGGGTGGTGGTGGGTGGTGATGTGTGGTGATGGGAGTGCACGCACACACAATTGCGCAACTGCGAATGAGATGGGCTTCTAGAGTGCACTTTCAGACTAGGCCTCTCACTCGAACCCGCTCAACGCGCTGACATGGAAACACAAGGCCAGTATGTCACTCCACACTGTCACACCACTCAATTCTGACCCATTGCTCCATCCCACCTCACTCTTCTTCCCCCTCCCTCCCTTTCCACCTGCTCCCCAAACGTCCTGGCTTGTGCCCTCCCAGTTCGCCCCCCCAGTTCGCCCTCCCAGTTTGCCCCTCCATCATCGGCCCCTCCAACTCGTCCTCCCACCTCGTGCCCCCCTCTCTGCGCCGCTCACCTGCGCCACTTGCCGCACTCCACATCCCTGCGAGCAGTCTTGCCGTCCGCGCGCACATCGCCCTCGTAGTACAGAATCCCCTCACACTGCTCCCACCGCTCCTCCGCCGACACAGGCAGGTTGCGCACCGGCTGCCACCCCATGGGCCACTTGCTCTGGGGGGTGAGGGGTTGGGAGAATGGGGTTGGGAGAATGGGGTTGGGAGAATGGGGTTGGGAGAATGGGGTTGGGAGAATGGGGTTGGGAGAATGGGGTTGGGAGAATGGGGTTGGGAGAATGGGGTTGGGAGAATGGGGTTGGGAGAATGGGGTTGGGAGAGATTTAAAGGAGTGAGTGGGTGGGTTGTATCCTTGCTGCCGCTTTGCTTCCACTGCTCCCACCGCTCCTCCGCTGCCACGTGCAGGTTGCGCACCGGCTGCCAGTCCATGGGCCACTTGCTCTGGGGGGCGAGGGGGAACAGCCGGTGGGAGCGGGAGAGAACGGGGAGAGAAGGAAGGGGGCAGCAGGAGGAAAGAATAGGTTAAGGAAGGGGGAAGGAGGAGAGAAGGAGCAGGGAACAGGAGGGGAGAAGGAGGGGGACGAGGAGAAAGTGGTGGAGGGTTGGGAGAGAGTCCAAAGGAGGAGTGTATCCTTGCAATGCAGCTGCTCCCGCTGACACAGGCAGGTTGCGCACCGGCTGGCAGCCAATTAGGCACTTTCTCTAGCAGAGAACAAGGGGAGAAGAGGAAGGGAGAGAAGGAGGAGGAGGAGAGACGAAGGATGTTAGAAGTAATGGGGTGAAAAGAAAGAGGCGGAGGGTTGAGAGGGAGTTGGAAGGAGGGGGGGATGTAGTTGTATTGTATGCTTGCATTGCAGCTGCTACCACTCTACCCCACCAGCCACACGAGCCCCACCAGCCACACGAGCCCCACCAGCCACACGCGGCCCACCAGCCACACGCGGCCCACCAGCCACACGTGGCCCACCAGCCACACGCGGCCCACTAGTCCCATCACTTATGCATTCAGGCAGCAACCACACACGTGCACTGGCAGCAGCGTTCGTACCTCTGCCAGGCGCTGCTTCATGGCTTCCAGCTCCGCCTCCTTCTCCTCCTCGCTCATCGCCCGCTCCTGCCCAAACACAGGCCGCTCGCTGCTCCCAGGGATGGCACGCAGGGCGGGGAGGTGAAGTAGGGGGGAGGAGAGGGACGCAAAGCGGGGAGCGGAAGGAAGCAGGGCGGGGAGGGACAAGAAGAAGGGCGTGTGAAGGACAGAACCAGAAGCGGTGGGGGAAGAGAAGCAGAGATGGTTCAGGGTTCACCCCTTTGGGCTTGGGAGCAGCCTTGACGCCCTAAGGGGTGAACAAAGGGAGCAGCGTTGCAGCCCAAAGGGATGAACACTGAATAGATAAACACGGGGGGAAAAGCACAGATGCGCATTCAAAAGGAAGAGGACGCGAGAGTGGGTCGTGCGAGGGTAGGGAGACATTGAATGGACAGGAAAGTAGGGAGGAACAGGGGATGGGAGGAAGGGAGAAAAATGAGAAGCAAGGGGTGGGCAGCAGCAGCAGCAGCAGCAGCAGCAGCAGCAGCAGCAGCACGTACAGGCCTTCATCATCCACGCCACGCCCATCCCTCTCCATCTTCTCCGCAACTGCCTTCTCTTCGTCCCCCTGCCACTCGCCCACCAGCGCCTGGAACATGGGACCCACGCGGATGTGCCCCTGCGCCGCCAGCCACTCGCCGCGCAGCAACCACTGCCCCGTGCCCCCCGGCCCTGACTTCAGCGGCCGGATGCCCCCCCGCCTCTTCACCGCCACCCCCTCCTGCTCCTCCTGCTTCTGCTGCTGCTGCTGCCCGTTGCTCCCTGCTGCTCCCTCCTGCCCATCTCCCCCTCCCCCTCCCCCCACTCCTCTTTCTCCTCCTCTGTCTCTACTCTCTCCTCCACCACCCTTCCCCTCCTCCTCCTCTTCCCCTCCTCCCCTCCCAATCCCGTTCCTCGCCCCTCCCGCCCTCCCCTCCGCATCTGCTTCCCAGTCATACTCCCACGCAAACCCTTCCCCCCCTCTTCCGCCGCCCAAGCCCCTCCCCCCCGCATCCGCGCCCACCATGTGGCGGCGCGCCCACAGCTCCTCGTCCTCAAACACCACAGCGTTGCCGCGCTCCCACTGCTCCTCCGCGCACGCCTCGCACAGCCACTCGTCCCCTGCGGGGGGCTCTTCAGCGGGAGGGTTGAGGCAGCGCAGATGGTAGCAGGCATCGCAGGCGTCGCACAACAGACACGTGGCGTCCTCTGGTGCTTTGCACACGGAGCAGGGGGGCGGCGGGGCGGCGGGGGTAGAGGGGAGAGAGGTGGTTGCTGCAGTGGCTGCTGCAGCAGTTGCGGCAGTGGGTGAATCAGTGCTTGCATGAGTGGCGCTTGCTGCAATGCTGGGTGCAGCAGCAGCAGCAGTGGGTGTGGGCCGTGCAGGGGGAGGGGGATGGCTGCCCACCATGCCTGGGTGGGGGGCTGCTGCCTTGGCGGTTTGTTTCGTCGCTCTAACTCCCCGCAGGATGTACTTTGGCTCTAGTGCCGCCGCCTCTTGCTGCTGCAACTGCTGCTGCTTTTGCTGCTGCTGCTGCACCTTCTGCTCTTCCTCCTGCTTCTCCTCGTCCTGCTCTTTCTGCTGCTGCTCTTTTATCTCGTCTAAAACTGGAGCCCCATCACAGACATCACCACCACCACTCCCTTCCCCGCCCCTTCCCTCCCTCGCAACCACATCTATCCCTGTCACTCCCGTACTACTCCCAGTAACCACAGTAACCCCGGTAACCGCACTCCCTTGCGCCCGAGCCACCCCATCTATGTCCATCCCCTCGCCGATCCCACACGCCACATCCCCCGCTCCCTTACTCTTCGCCTCCCCATTCGCCCCCCCTTTACTTCCTCCCCCACTCGAACCGCCCCCGCTTCCTCCTGCTGCTCCCCGTCTTCCCCCAGTCCCAATCCCTATCCCTTTCTTCCCACCCAGAATACCCCCCCCAGACGCACCACCACCACCAGAACCAGCACCCGCTGTAGCACCCCCTTGGGTGGTATCGTCCCAGCCATAGAGCCCCCACTCCCAGTACCACTGATCCATCACACACCAGGGGAACGTGCCCTTGCCATACTCTGGTTCGCCTCCCCCTCCTGACCTCGCTCCAGCCTTTGATCCGGCTGTAGACTGACTCGCACAGTGACTCCCTGCTCGTCCGCTCCCACTCCCACCGCCGCCGCCACCACAGGCAGCACTGCCACCGGCAGCAGTACCGGCAGCAGCAGTGGCAGTAGCGGCGGCGGTGGCAGGAGCAGCGGCAGCGCAGTCAGGAGCAGCAGCGGGAGAGCAGATGCGGGAGTTGAATTGGAGTTCAAACGGTTCATTCACCACTGCTAGCTCACCCACACACACGTCCATGTCACCTGCTCCTGCTCCTGTTCCTGCTCCTGCTCCTGCTCCTGCTCCTGCTCCTGCTGCTGCTGTTGCCAATCCTGCTCCTCCTCTCCCTCCTCCCGCTCCTCTTCCTGGAATAGCATTCTGGGACTTGGCGTGCGAGTGAGCGTGATTATGGGGATTACTGTTCTTGCCTCCTCCTCCTCCCCCCCCTGCTCCGCCTGCGCCTGCCCCTTTACCGGAAATCCTGGCCATGGCGAGCACAGCACTGGCACGCATGCTCCGCCTCCTGCCCCCCAATGCACTCTCCCACCCACTCCCTGCCTTCCTCCCCTCCCCCTCACTCCCACTCCCACTCCCATCACCACCACCACCAGCACCAGCCGCTCCCAAGCCTGTGCTCTTCGGAGCGCCACCCCCACCTGCAAGCACATCCGCGCTACTGGAGTCGTTCTGTACAATCACATCAACGTTACCCGTCGCCCCGCGCACCACCGCCTCAACAACATCAATCTCCATTCCGACCGCCTGCTCCCCCTGCTCCCCCTGCTCCCCCCCTCTGCCCTCCTCTCTCGCTTCCTCCTTTGCGCCACCATCGCTGTGCTCGCCCCCTTCCGTTATTGTCCGCTCCTCCTCCTCATTAGCTGACCTTTGCAGCAACCGGGGTAGCTTCTGAGGTGATCCAGGTGCCTTCTTTGGCGTCCCAGGTGATCCTTCAGGTGATTCAGGCGATTCATGTGAATCAAGCGGCATTGCTATCCGCGAGCGGGGCAGCGCAGGGGCTGAATGCGGGCGCAAAGGGCGCGGGGAGCGAGAGGAGCGCGAGCGCGAGCGTGTAGAGCAGGCAGAGCGCGCGGAACGAGGAGGCGGCGGCGGAGGGAGAAGTGGACGGCTCCGAGGGCGAGCGCGAGAGAGGTGAGCGCACTGACGGCGAGGAGAGGGGGGAGCAGCGCGCAGGACTGCGGGGGAGCGGCGGGCATTGCGCGTGTGCGGACTGGTAGGGAGTGAACTGTGTGGTGGGATGGTAGAGAAGCTGTGTTGTGGGTTATTCCGCGATGCAAGCTTGAAAGGTGTTTCACTGCTTGGAGAAATTTTGTATGGACTTTGAATGACGGTATGCTTTTTACAGGTGCACCCTCTTTCGTGAGTTCTACATCATTGAAGGCTACACCACAAAAATAGCAATGTAACAAGGCAAAGCACTACATACGGTACGCTTTTCTACTATCCACCCTCTTCCAACTGTGCCACCATCTGTTTTATTGTTGCAACATTCTTCTCCATATCCTCTAACGAATCACTCTGCATGGGGTGCACTATTGACTCTTTGTAGCTGTCCCTGGCCTCCTCGAGCAGCACTTGCATGATCTCGCACTCCATGTTGCTCTGCAGCTTCTTGCCTGTGTACCCCCTGACGAGTTTGCACATGCCATGCCAAGGGATGCATGATGGGAAGGGGAGGGGGACATAACGGGAGGGCACATACTGGATTGCTTGAATTGCAGTCAAAAATGCACAAGACGAGAACTCTCAAGCACAAAGCAATTCGACAACGGGGTCGTCAAGAAGAAAGAGACGAAGTGAAAGAAAAGACAAGAGCGAGAGAGAGGGAGGGATAGAGAGGACTGCTTGAGAGAGAGGAGACAGAGAGTGCGAGCACAGACAAGGAGGTGATTCACCTGGCGTGAAGGCGGTCGTAGAGAACGGAGTTATTGGTCTGCAGCACGGCCACGAGGTCGAACCAGCGCTCGGGGAGAAAGTCTTGAGACGTCTCAAAACTACACAAAATAAGAGTGCGAGCACACACACGGCGTTGATCACCTCACCTGGCGCTGAGGCGGTCGTAGAGCAGCGAGTTGTCGGTCTGCAGCACGACCACGGGGTCGAACCAGCGCTCGGGGAAGAAGTCGCACGAGTGGTGCTCCACCAGCATGCCCCCCGCGCTCATGCTCTCCTCCAGCTCGTCCACCACCTGCGCTCATGCTCCCCGCGCACACGGCCAGGGGGAGAGCAAGGAGGAGGGGGGGGAGGGAATGAGGTGTTTGTAGGAATGGCTTTGAGCAGAAGTCGCACGAGTGGTGCTCCACCAGCATACCGCCCGCGCCCATGCTCTCATCCAACTCGTCCACCACCTGCCCTCTCCCGCCCACGCACACGGCCAGGGAGAGAGGAGGGGAGAGCGGGGGAGGGGAGGTGATGGTCGGAGGCGGATGGTGGCGAACAGTAGCAGATCCGAGGTGGGGCGCGCTCATGCTCTCCTCCTGCTCGTCCACCACCTGCGCGCCCCCGCGACCTCGCCCAGGGGAACAGCACGGAGGGGAGAAGGGGATGGCTTTGAGCAGCAGTAAATCTGAAGTGGGACACGGGCGAGCGACGGTAGAGGGAGAGGGTGGGGATGGGCGGAGAGGGTGGGGATGGGCGGAGAGGGTGGGGATGGGCGGAGAGCAGGGCAGTAAGGGAGGGGCGGGGAGGATGAGGGGAAGTGGTGCAATAGGAGCGGAGGAGGTGGAAGAAGCAGGGGCAGACGGGGGGTTGTGGGTGCGGGGGGGTGTGCGTGCGGGGGGATGTGGATGCGGGGGGATGTGCGTGCGGGGGGATGTGGGTGCGGGGGGATGTGCGTGCGGGGGGATGTGGGTGCGGGGGGACAGGGGACAGGGAAGGAGAGGGGAACCCAGGAGGGGGGGAACGTGTGAAGAAGGCTGAAAGAGCAATTCCTTTCAACAGCTTAAACCTCGAACCCCCGAACCGACTTTGTTAGAGCGTTGCAACCCTAGTCGCAGTCCCGTCTAGTACGTGGATGGCACGAAAACCAAGGGCTCACTCGAACCAAGTCCCATGGTACAGTCTACGTCGCTACCTTAACTTCGTCGCTACCTTATCGTCGTCGCTACCTTATCTTCGTCGCTACCTTATCTTCGTTGCTACCTTATCTTCGTCGCTACCTTATCTTCGTCGCTACCTTATCTTCGTCCAGCACGAAGCAGTCGTACTCGTCGTCCCACCCGTCGTGCAGCTCCTTCTGTCGCACAAGGTCGCCCACGTTCACGTGTCGCAGACCCGTCGCCTCCGCCACCAACTGACTCGTCGACGTCTTTCCCGTGCCAGGTGTACCCGTTATAAGCACATTTGGCCGACGACCACCGCGTGCTCCGACAGTAGCAGGGCCAGTGGAGCCCATCGGCAGGCCCATATACCGGAGCACGGATCGCGTGCAAACCGGCGTGCGAGGCCAGCCCCGGCAGGTGCTGGCGACGAGGCTCAGATGCACGCGGACGACGAGCGACGGGATCGCAGGCGAGGCAGGGGAGGGGAGGGTCGCGAGAAAGAGGCGAAGCGGGGACGGAGATGAATGCGGCAGGTTATTTGGAACGAACCGCGAAAAGCAATGAGCAGAGCGCCATTGACGGTTGCACGATATCACAATGAGGCTCAAGTGTGAAAGACGGAATGAGTGTGGGATGGAATGAAGAGCGATGGTTATGTGACGGAAGTAGTACGCAGCGCAGGACGGATTGAAGATGCGACGGAATGACTGTTCGACGAGAGGTAAAAGCGCGTGAGGGCTGTGTTACGTAGTAATGCGCGAAGTTTTGAGAAGGGAGCGAAGGTGGCGAAAGTTAAGTTCATCTGGCAATCCTCCTACTCGGAGTACTAATGAGTTGCAACCCTTGATTGCGATTGCAAAACACATGT